GTGTATATCATATTATAAATATAAAATTAAATTATTTATTGTAATATTGGTTAATGATTTAACTTTTTTATGATTCTTTATCAATTTTATATTAATTGTAGACTATAAAATTTAAATACTTAATTCTTAAATATTATATTATTAACTAGACTATAAAAAATAAATAATTATATCTCAATATTTATTCCAAAAATAATATTGATTTTTTTTTTATAGTCATTTTATTATCAAACTTAGTTAGTAAATTGTTAGTTATGTTATATTTAATGGTGGAATTATTTTATTTATTTTTTTATACATGAAACAGGTCGGGTAGGGTAGGGTCGACTCGGGTTGGAACCCGATAAAACCCAAATGTAAGAATTCAGGTTACCCGTTTACTCGACGAAGACCCGATAACCTATTGGGTAAAACCCAACCCGACCCGAAGTTCACTCACCGGGAAACGGGTCGGGTAAATTGTATGCGGGTCGGGTTTGGTTTACATCTGTAAAAGAATAGTAAATTTTTTACCCGACCCGACTCATTTACATCCTAAGAAACCTGTAATAAACTTCTTACTTTCTTCCTCCATCTTGATTTGATAGAGTTTCGATTTACAATCAAACTTTGAAAATGCTTTTGCATTTACAATTGAACTTTGAGAATACTTTGGCATTTACAATCGAACTTTGGGGCAGTTCGTATTCACCTTGACCATATGCGTAAGAAAATACGGGCTTAACTTCCTGGCTATTACGACCACTGCTAACGCTCCCTTTTCGACCTCCTAGTACCTTAGTTCGGCCCCTTGCATAACCCGATTTAGGTAATAGTTGTTCACGGTCCAATTTTAACTGGAAAAAAACCGTCAATCCGGACCGCGGATCGATTAAATGGTCAGTTAAAAAAGCCTTAAAAAATCCCATGGTTAATTTTTTAAGAAATTCAGAATAACTGGTCCGGTTAACGGATTACCTGAGGCAAACCGCCGGTTTAACCGGACCGGACCTGTAAATATTAAAAAACTATAACAAATATATATATACATCCAATCCAAGTCCCCAACAGGAAGGATGTGACTGAAAAATAAATGTTTTGCTCATATTATTTCAGGCGTATAAACTGACTGAAAAATGAATGTTTGCTTGGGTTCAGTTTGCATAATTTAGTCTTCATCATTTTTGTATTTTCATTTTTATGGGACGAAATATGTATTTTTATGCTTATGGAAGGAATTGTGTATTTTTTAGGGGAATTTTTTATTTATACTACTTGATTTAGAAAAAAATTATAATTCTACCAGGGGTCAAATTTTAGGTCAAATTTTATTTGCAAGTTTACCAATTTCATGTTAATTAATTATACATATACACTACAGTAGAATATTTTCAGTTACCATATTTAGTGTAACCACCTCCTCAAATGATGGGATTTTCAGTTACGGGTATATTGCGTGTCAATTTGTTTCCATCCCAATTCCACGCAGTATATATTGCGTATATATTCAGTATATATAAACTAATTAATATATCCAAAAAAACATGTATCATCTTCGTTTTGAAACTGATTTATGTATATATAGTATATTTTCTGGGTTTTTTTTTTCTGATCTGATATATATATATATATATATATATATAT